AGGGGTAGTTAAGGCCCTTGGCATTGATAGTTGTGATAGGGACATGTTGGAGTATGAGGGCTGATGTTTACCTTGGTTCGGAGCAGGGATTATACAATTCACTTCTCAGGTAGTCAAGATTAGGCTGTTGATACGTTGGTGGTTATATATGGTTACATACAACAAATGAATGTAAGTAGTTCAGTAGCAGACACAAGAATAATACTGAGACACTTCAATATTGGAATACGAGATAACAAATGAACATATGCAACGTAAATAATTGTATTGCGTGCTAAAACGCAAAACTGAGTGGGTAACTGAGTAAATAAACGTGCTTAGCATGGTAACACTAATGGAGGGTGGTTTTACCAACACATAGAATTTCTACTCATCCCAGAGGCACTGAGGGATGCTGGGCAAAGGTGCCACTATGAGTATAGGCAGTTCTGAGATCAGTTTCTGGCTATATCCTGGTGTGGGTTGAATATGTTAGATCTGGAATCAGGAACTTTCAGAGACTGTTTGGGTAAAGGGGTTCTCAGTGGAACCTGAGAGGTGAGACCCCAAATATGTAGTTGTTTTAGACTATCTTTTGGCGTTAGGAAAGAAGTTAGTTGATTCTGATATGAGGCTAATAATTTTGGGGTGAAACCCCAGCCATATCGGGTGAGCTTTTCTTGCAGGATGAAGGTAATCTGAGCGAATGATCTTCTTGCTCAGGCTGTAGCAGCTGAAATATCAGAAAAAATAGAGATTGCTGCATAGGGCTCTGGAAAGGTGTTAGTGGATCTAGTTGCTTTTAGCAGTCTTTCCTTTACGTGGAAAAAGTGTATCCTAGCTAGGACATCTCTTGATACACTATCTGGCAAGTGTTTCGGTTTTTTAATTCTGTGCGCATGATCGATTGTGAGTTCTTGAGTTGAGAGGTTGTTGATAATTGTGCAAAATAGCTGTTGTAGGTATGAGAGTAGATCAGCAGGTTTAATTGGATTCAGGTATACTTCTGAATTTTAAATTGTTCCACCTAGAGCGATCTTCAAGATCTGCAAGCTTGAGTTGAATTTGTTGAATAATGGCGGCTTGGTCATCTTGGGTATCAACAACTGCGTTGTGAACGTTAGCTATTTCAGACATCTGTTGTTCTATTGTATCTTCTATGTATTGCATTCTCTGGTGTATTTGTTGGAGGGAGATTCTTAAATCTTTCTGTATGTCTGCTTGTAGCGTGAGAAGCATAGATTTTAGGGTGTTTTCAGAGGCAGGGTTGTTTGATGTGGGAAAGGCCACTAAGGATGTAGGAGAGTCTGCTGCTGGGTCAGAGGGTTCTAAGTCTGTCCCATGTTGCTTCTTGTATGCAGGGGATTTAGCTGGGGAGCAAGCAGGTGATGCTGCTGCTCTCTTACCTCTATCCAGGGTGTGCTGAGCCAGCTGAGGGTCCCCTCATTCAGTGTCCTCCTCCATGTCACTAACAGCAGCTGTCTCCTGCTCTGTGTGTGTGACTGTCAGCCTGTCTGAGGAGCGGTTCTCCCCACCAGCGCCATCTTGGATTGATCTGTTATGGGGCTTCATGAAGAAGTCCTGCAGCTTTCGGGGTCTGTGAAGCAGAGTTTTTTTCCTGGACATGTCCAGGGGGGTCTCTGGAACCAGTACCTCCATTTTGGAGGTGATCGATGCGGTCACTGGCGCTCTGAAATTGCTTTTATGCCACAGCTGGGACAGAGCTGAGAAGCTTGGCGGCCATCTTGGGCTGCAGCCAGACCACGCCCTATAATTTTTTTTATAAATGCACATGAAAGCACTGCAATGGTGTAAACTAGGTTCACTGAGATACATTAAGGCCTCAAGCACACAAGATAAAAAAAGAGTTTGACACGTGTAAACGCGTCTAGACATATTTAGGCATGTCAAGCGCTTGGGCATTAATTCATTTCATTGGCCAGAATATTAATTTATTCTGTTAATTTAAATAAATTAATGTTCAAGTGCTTGATGCGCCTAGAGTTAATGTGCATTTAAATGCGTTTACATGCATCAAGCCGTTTATCTGCTAAAACCCTCCTGCTCCTGAACGTGCTGGCAGTGTTTTTTTTTTTCTGCCTCTAAATGCCAGTGTGTGCATGGACACATTGGCTAACATGCAGGGGATTTAGGGGCAGAAAAAAAATACCAGATGCCCTAACAGCAGCATTAAAAAAAACATGCAGTGTGCATGAGACCTTTTACTTTGCTTAAAGACGCACCCAACGACATCTGCCTTAAACAAGCCCTTAGGGCTTGTTTATACCAGGTGTGTTGAGCTGCATTGATCAGCATAGTCTAAACCCAAGGACACGGAGAAAACAGTTGGTTTCTATGTACCCTTTTCACTCTGTACAAGTGTGTTAGTGTGTGCTGCATAAAACGTAATGCACAAAGATGCATTACAATTCAAGGGAGTTCATCACAATGTGACATTGCGCATAAAGTTAAATATTGTGGTGTTTTTGTCAACTCTAAATAAAGTTTAACAAAGAAAAAACAAAACACTGTGATGTGCTGTAGTGATGCATGCAAAAATGCAAACTAGTTCACACAAAGTAGAGAAACAGGTGTGGTGCTTCAATCCCCATCCAATATGTGGAAGGATTTACACTTATTGGCAGAATGTACTCACTTATGCTCCCCTAATCAGCCTCTTTGGAACAACCACAGGCTGCAACATTCTTTGTCTCTACCAATGGTTTTGGGCATGTAGGGTCTTTGATATTTACATCAGCTCTATGACAGATGTACATTTAAGTCCTTTCAACAACTAAGAATTAGGTATTACACAACAGTGGTCCTTTCACTACACACAGCTTAGGCAGGCTGCGGAGGCGCAATTTGGGCTACATAATGTTTAATTGATCAATTCTGAATTAGAACGTGCCCTGCTTCGTCCTGACCATACCCATGTAATTTCTACTTGCTATACACTATTACAGGATAGACCATCTCCCTGCCTCGTTAAGATGCAAACTTGTGGGTGTGAGGATGTTCTCCGTCTTTCAGCTGATAACTGGACAGAATTATTTAACTCCTATGCCTCCACAGTAATCTCTGCCAGGGATAGACCCATTCATAGAATAGAATATATTACACACCGCTGAGGTTATTTAGAATGTATAAAAGGGATACTCCTACCTACCACAAATGTAACAAGGAGCCTGGTGATTTTTTTGCATATGGTATGGTGTTTTGACACAATCAGACCTTTCTGGTCAAAGGTCACGGCATTTATTGTTTACTTTGATTTACCTAATGTTTGCTGTGTGCTCTGGAACTCTCTACCCCAATTTATCAGACTATCGCCTACTCTGCTCGCTTTTAGGCGATTTCTGAAAACCTTCAGGGAAGTCTATCCTGCCCTCAGCTAATAATGGAATCTTCTACTCTTCCAACCAGTCCATCCCCCACAATTACTACCTTTTGTACCACTAGCCCCTCCCTCTTAGATTGTAAGCTCCAAGGAGCAGGGCCCTCCTATCCCTCTTGTATTGAACTGTATTGTCTCCCGTTATATTTTAAAGTGCTGAGCAAACTGTTGGTGCTATATAAATCCTGTATTATAATAATATTAATAATAATATGCTGTCCCAAGTGGTGCCTTCTTGGAATCTTTGAAGACTTAGTTGTCTCCTCGGTGACCAAGCATTTCCTTCAGCTTCTCTTTTACTATGCCAGGATGGTGATTGTACTAAATTGGATTCACACTGCAGTTCTCTATATTGGTTTATGAAAAAAATTGATCAATCAAAATTTACTCACATATGAAGCTAGGGGGTGCCCAAGGAAGTTTTATAAGATCTGGGGCCCTTGGTTGTATACCCAAGACACTAGTGATTGTTTGCTCTCCATGATCTCTGCCCCAGTTGGGTAATACCTTGAGATACCGTGTAGCCCCCCTCTTTATTATATTTGTGTTATGGGTACCATTATATTATTTTTTCTGTCTCTAGCCACTATGCTATTCGGGGAAATTGCAACCACAGTTTCCATTGTCTTTGCTCAAATAATGTATACTGGTGCAACTGTGATCTTGAAAGCCTAGGTCTTCACGGGTTGATGTTCTGTTAGGATTTACTATATGGGTATGGAAAACCTAGTCTTTTCCCAGTGTTTTGTTTGTTTTTGTTTATACATTTTTGATTGCATGATGCTTGATATTTGTTTCATTGTATATTCACTTGGATCCATCCGTTGCTGGAAAACTTCTTTCTAGAAACCACATTATGTATACTGTTTCTTGTATGGAATGCTAATTGTCTATACTTACACTCAATGTGATACATTTCTACTTGTATTTCCATTTGTGATATACTCTCAATAAATCCAGTTTTTTTAAAAAAATATGTGGAAGGATGAGGATCAAGTGCTTTTGCCAGGATACTGTACATACCGTCCAACATCAGAAGAAAGGCAAAAGTCCGACACCGAAGCATCTTAAAATTACATAGCCTTAATTTTTTATTTAGAAGACATGAAAAAATAAATTTCTACAGCAAGATTGATGTGTTTAAGCCCCTTCTGTGCAGATACCCCATCCCCTCTGGCTTTTTTTCTGGCGATCTTCTCCTTTTTCTTTTTATATGACAAACCTGTGTTATTTTTTAATCATATTATATGTTTTGTATTATTTATTGTTACTTCATAATATGTTAGCTCGAAAGAGCAGGGCCCTCGAACCCCTTGTGTATTGTATTGTTACTGTCTTGTCTCCTGTTCTGTCCCCCTTGCTACTGTACAGCGCTGAGCATACCCTTTGGCGCTATATAAATACTATATAATTAGAGATGAGCGAATTATTCAAAAATTCGGTTCGGCTGATTCGCCGAATTCGCGGAATAAATTCGCTTCGAGCCAAAATATATGCGCTGCGAATTTAACTTATAAAAAGGGTGTTTCTAGGCTTCAGAGAGCCTTTATATTAGTGCAGAACACTGTACCTTTAATTTAAATGCCCTTGGAGTCTGCTGGGGAAAAGAAATAATACTGTCAGTCAGTATGACATGCAGATGACTGCCGTCGATCTTAGAATCACCGCACACTTCACTCATTTGGGCAGTCACGGGGCCAAAACCAGAGTGTGGAGCCACAGTGTTGGGCGGTGGAGGCAGCAGCAATGGGAGGCCATACAGCACCCTATGACAAAATGGAACCCACCAGCAGTGTGAGGAGACCTGAAAGTGGCACATGGCAGAGTGTGGCGATGGAGACAGCAGCAATGGGAGGCCGTACAGGGACCCATGACACACTCTGGACCTGGCAGCAGCATGAGGAGGCGGTACAGGGGCCCATGACAGATTACGGGCCTGGCAGCAGCATGAGGAGTCGGTACGGGGGCCCATGGCAGATTACGGGCCTGGCAGCAGCATGAGGAGGCGGTACAGGGGCCCATGGCAGAGTGGCGGAGTGTAAGCAGCTAAAATTGAAGGCCATACAGAGGCCCTGGCTATGTTAAAAGTCCCCCCAGCAGCAGCGTGGGGAGACGACTATCAAGAGTCCAATGGCAGAGTGGCGGAGCAGAAGCAGCTTCAATTGAAGGCCATACACAGGCCTAGGTTTAAAAGTCCCTCACAGTTAATTCCAATAACGAACTCTACTCCTCCGTGCAATCTACTTACGAGACCCTGGGCAGGTCTGGGTCCAATTTGTGGTAGAGACTGGTTTTGTTCAGCCATGCTTGAGCGAGTAATAACAGGTCTGTGCTGCCCTTTGGTGTCTGGCTTAATGCGCACAACACTGAACGTCCCAGCGTTTGTCAACGATTTGCCGTTAAGTGATGCAAACCCGCTGAACCACATCATGAGGAGCCGGTACAGGGGGCCATGAATCAGTATGGACCTGGCAGCAGCGTGAGCAGATGACAGAGGCACATGGCGCAGGGTGGCGGTGGAGGCAGCAGTATTCGGAAGCCATACACAGGCCTAGGTTTAAAACTGGAACCCAGCAGCGTGAGCAGACGACAAAGACGCACATGGCAGAGGATGGATCTGGCAGCAGTATGAGAAGGCGGTACAGGGGCCCGTGGCACAGTGTGGTGATGGGGGCTACAGCAACTGGATGCCAGAAAGTGGCCGATAGGGCTATATACTGCATGGAATTATAAAGTTGTAAAGACAGCGGCCTATAAGGCTATACACACTATAACAATCATGACTTGATTGACCATTGGCCTATAAGGCTATACACAGCATGAATATCATGACTTATTCTGAGAGTGGTTTGGAAGGCTATATACAAAAAAGTAATTCATGAGCTGTCCGGACAGCGGACAATAAGTACATATATACAAATCAATTCATCAGCTGTCCAGCCAGCGGCCTCAAAGGCGACACATATAGAAAGCAATTCATGAGCTGTTCAGACAGCGGCCTCTAAGGCGACAGATATACAAAGCAATTCCCGAGGGTGTTCAGGGAGCGGCCTGAACGGCTAGGTTATTACTAAATATATTTTTGTGGCCAAACATCGGCCTATAAATAGATGTCTACACAGTGACAAAAAATTATGTCGCCAGACAGCGGCCCCTAAGGCGACAGATATACAAAGCAATTCCCACGAGCGCACAGGGCCCACAGTGTCTGAGGATGGACGTTGGCGCAGAAAGGCAGAGACCAACTGACTACATAGGTGGTTTTTATAGTACTTTATTTTGGCCTCCCTCTCAGCAGGTGTGAAAAAGGCCACCATTTTTGAAAAGTTTACGTGACATTTTAAGGATGTCTTGCAAGTGGGATGTGGATTTTAGGAACCGCTTGACAACCAGATTGAACACGTGAGCCATGCATGGCGCATGGCACAACCTTCCTTGACGCAGAGCAGACACCATGTTCTTTCCGTTGTCGGTCAACATGGTTCCGATTTTCAGTTTCGCGGAGACAGCCATCTGTTGATTTCTCTGTTATTACACTCAGAAGTTCCTCCCTGTGTGACTACGTTCGCCAAGGCATACCAGGTGCAGCACAGCGTGACACCGTTGCGCCCTGCACATGTGATATGCCGGTCGGGTAATGGGACTTGGCACGGGGGTGGCGGTTGAGGACACGGCGGAAGAAGAGGTGGTAGAGGCGGACATCTTTGCTGGACC